GTAAGTTTTTTCGAATAGGGGTGAGAGATTGAAATATATAGAGTGAGGGCAAAGTCATGATTTTAAATTGTTCGAAGTAAGGTCTGCAGGATACCCTGGGCCCCACTCCGGCAATTATCCTGATTGCCCGTTTTTGATATACAAAAACTCTATTTGCATGGGATCAGTTCCCCCAGAGTGTTGTACCATGAGATATATGTGAATGAAAGAGAGAAAAATAAGCTATTTTCAATATGTAGAAACTTAATGATTTTTTTTAATGTTCTCAACAGAAATAATTGGCTGGTCAATCTCTTACATAGAAGATTAATGTGAATTGTCCAATTTAGTCTGTCATCAAGATGTATTCCTAACAACTTGGCACATTCATTGTTTCTGATAAGTGTATTATTTGTGCTGAAGATAATATTTTGATTCTTTGATAAATTCTGTTCTTGAGAACACTTTCATTGGCAAATAATGTCAAAGCTTTGCCGTTCTACAGACGAGCGAGTGTTGTTCGACATATCTCAAGGTTGACAACGGAAGGATGTGCTGACTGGGCTTGTCGCGAGTTTGTCTGACTGTTATTGCTAGTGACGGAATGATAGAGATTTTTGAGCAACATTTCCCGTGGAAGTATCCATAGAAAAGTGAAACGTCGCCGACTTTTTCACGATTCTATAATTAGGTCAAAGAACTAGTGAGGCGAATGGCTCTTCTCTGGATGGAATCTAAGAGAATCAGAGTATGTTGTGAGTGCCGAACCTCATATGTGAGAACGGTATTCTAAAACAGGTCGTATCTATGCTTTGTAGATCATGGGAAGATATTGAGATGTAAAGTAGATTTTCGCACAAAAAAAAATCTGAGTTTTTATGGAGCAGCTTTCTCGATGTGGATCGGACATGATTTTTCCATGTAAGAGTATTGCTGATGGAAAAACCGAGCATAGATATAGTGGACTTGGTGGGAATGGTGCTACCAGACATTGTTATATCAGGCATACTGTGTTTTGGCTTTCTAAAGAAAACGTAGGCTTGAGTTTCGGTGACGTTGAATTCAGCTATATTTTTATTAGTAGGGCTAAGAGGTTGAATACAAAAAGTTTTCTTTTTAATTGGTACCCTACTATACTCATGGAGAACCAGCGTGTTTCAATCCAACTATCAAAAACGCGCAACGTGGCAACACACGGGGCATTGATGTACCCGAGAACGTGAAGTCTAAAAATGTCAACGTTCAAATTATCGACATGACAGGATGAGTACCATCCCTATTAGCACAATTATGTCCCATGGACATCCTTAGGTCGTCCCGTCGGGACATTCAGGACGTTCATAGAACTTTCGAATTTGGTACCGCAGATGTCCGTCCATTGGACGTCTGTGTGACGTACAAATGTCCCACTAGAGGATCAACTAGGGACGTCCGTAGGACATGCGTAGGACAACCTATCATTAACGCTGGGGGTAATTAATTGGATGTCCATAGGATGTCCCAGGGACGCTCGAATTATTATTGAATAAGAATTTATTTGGGCCTCCCTAGGACCAGGTCTTATGCATAACCGATGAGGACATCCAGTTGAGTTGATGGTCCATAGAAGGTCCCCAATAGATCTTGAAGATGTTTCCCAAGGATGTCCAATGGACTTATGTAAAGGACATTGACATGGAGTGTATTTATAGCCTACGAGCAGTCGATCGTCGGCGAGGTGTATGTTAACGTTCTCACAGGGACAATTTATTAAAAGTACCGACTGGGACGTATGTAGGATGTTATTTCTTAGAACATTGAAGGAAAAAATTATCATTCCCTTGCGTGAAGGACATTTATATAGGATGTCCTTCCGAAGTCCTGGTGCCAATGTTTACCACCGATGGATGATGTCCCTTAGGATACATACCGAATCGTATCCAGGACATTCTGAGGACGTTTTTGGGGCGTCTGGGACATTCCATGGTTGTTTTAGAAGGGACATTATATGAGATCTGAAGTCTTGCCAGAATATGTACTACTTGGGACATTTTAAAATTATATCCCATCGTATGTACCACGTGGGATGTCCATATTTATGATCTCAAAGTGTACGGTGTATGGCTAAGCCTTTCCAAGTTTCTGGAACGATTTTAATCCCTGTTTTTCAATAATGAATTTATTTTTTTGATTGATTATTTCGACAAATGTCAAATGTCAGTAATGTCAGTGACAAGGCTACTGGGTAATTCTTAGTAGTTTCCGGATGAATTCGCGAACCAAGTTTTCTTCATTGCAGGAAAAATGAGAAATATAGTCGACGAAAAAATGATTTTACCAACTCGTGTATCAGAAGGTTATTAATGATATCAAACATTAACGCGCTCGCTTTGCTCGAACCTTAAAATATATCGATCATTAATCGCCCTCTTAAATACACTAGTTGGTTAAATAACTGTAATATTCACTAATATTTCAATATGCCATTTAGTTAGTTTTTGATTCCGTCTACGCCCATGTTGGGATTCAGTTCAGGAATGCGAAAAAAAATCAAGAGTGGACGTTCATACTTCACTTTCGAATTATAGATTTTAATGTTGATTTGAAGTTTCATAGCAAAGCCGCTAAAAATACCATCCAGTGGGATACTAGAAGTCATGATCTGAGCTCGCTAAATTCTTTCTGGAAACTTAAAAAAAAAGTTACCCGCGGTTACTTATAAATTATGAAGTAATAGTAGCTGGCATTCACTAAGCTGTGACAGACGTAAACGAAAACTTAATACTGCTTATAAATCATGTGAATGTTTGCCTTGAAAATAGGAACCGATTTATTTGAACACCTTTTGTGACAATAGATGTAAAACATTATCTTGTGTCATGCTAATTATTGGGTAACCATGAAGATCAAAGGTTGAATTTTTGCCTTTTCTTATCCATAACTTGATTAGGTGATGTTTTGGAGACTATCATTGAATAATCAAATCGCCAGCGACAGTCATTGTGGATATCATATTATGTGTACCTTATCATATTATGGTTCAGTGAGCGGATTTGCTTCAATGAATTTTGTGTCGAAATTAGTCAAAAAGTTCCGTACTAGGGATGGTATTTATTCATGGTTCATTGAATGAAATTTTGCGATTGATGTAAATAATTTACAAAGTGTTGAATTCCCTAGTTTTTGTTATAGGTATACGGAGTCTTGAATCATCATATCGTTTGTGAAATATTTTTCAGTTGCTATGGGATCTGTATACAAAAACGGCCGAGGCAATAACGTAATTGCAATAGCAACCGGAATCGGTAAGGTTGCAAATAAAACGACACAATTGGCTACAGTGCTGTCAAATGTCAAACGTAAATAAAGTCGACGCCACTGTCAAAATAATATCGTATTTCTATCGTATCTGAAACTGTTGATTGGTTAATTATCGAAAATGAGAACAAGAACAACTTCTTGGACCCCAGGGTTATTATAAGGGGTGGCCACTTTTTTAATGGTATTGGTAACTTCCAAACATCTTCCAAACTATATACTAGTTAGAAGGTCGGTTAAATGGAGAAAAAGTTGCGTATCAGGAAACATCATCTATTGATGAAAACTATACAAAAATATCAGGACCAGTTCTTGAGATAAGTATCCTTCATTTATTTCCAGAACTACCGGCCCTGATATTATCGAGCAGTTTTCATCAATCGATGATGCTACCTAATACGCAACTTTTTCTCTATTAGTAAGTTAGTAAGTAAGTACATTAGTTTCCAATATACACAGAACAGATGTACATTTAGCCATTGGCATAAGGAAAGATTAGTGTCATTTAACAAAATTATTTGATAATGAAAAAAAAAAGTCCGACCGTCTAACGAGTATGGTTTGGAAGTTACCTATACAACCCCATTAAAAGAGTGGACACCCCTCGGGCCACCCTGTATACAGGGTGTTTTAAAATTCTGTATCAAGATTTCAGGGGATTATTTTTCATATCAAAATATGTCCGCAAACGCTTCCTAACTGATCTACAGAGCGTTAAAATTTCAAGATTACTTTATTTTTTTCTTATAGCTCCTTTAGTTTTCGAGATATTCAGATCAAATTTGAAACATAGGTTACGTTTCAAGTTTCACATCATACAGTATGCCGAGTGATTGTAAGAATTTAGAGGGAGATATTTTTTCAGGAATTTGATATTTTTTCGCTACATAAACTTTTTCGTGGTGCGCCACTGATAGATTTTGAAATACGAAGTGAGTTCTTTGTTTTTTTTATAATTTTTTGTGTTTTGTAATTTTTACACATCTGCGACCGTTATCGATAAAAAAATACGTTTCTTCATAGTTTGCTAGATTTGATTGAATTTTTTAACAAAATGGACTGAAGGGAGAAACATTTTGTGGACACATATTCATTAGAGAAAAAGTCTTATTGTGACCTGAAAAATAAGACCCTTAAATCTTGATTCTGAATTCTGGAACACCGTGTATATTATATTGGACCCTTCTTTCTTCTATCTAATTATAATTGACATTGACAATAGACAATACATGCAACAAAAGGAACTCAATCTGAAAGGAAATGCTGCCCACAAATAGCATAAAATGTCTGACCATTTTCAAGTAAAATATGGTCAAAACATGACATCTGATAATTCAAATCTACTGGGAGACAGGTTATAGAATAAGGAAAATGACAAATCATAAATTTCACCAACCTTGGTTTTACAAATGATAAAATTTCCACAAATTCATTGAAACACCAACACGAAATATCTCGCTAACACACTAACTTCTTCAGGTGACAAAGTGGTGACAAACTAGTACAATGAATTAAATAATACATACATTGACTTCCTGTTTTGAATTTGAATTTGAACGAGTTGGTGATCTCAATAATGTCAGCTGAATGGAGAGGAATCTAGCGATCTCCTGTCCTGTATGTTGTTGACTTATATCCAGAGATGGCCAGAGATTAGATGTATATATTTTTTAAAAATATGCGAGTCAATTCAAAACAGGTGATTCTGAAGTTGTTGTTTTCAGTGGTATAGCAGTAGGAGTATACACAACGAATTCTCCAGAAGCATGCTTTTACTGTGCGGAAAACAGTAATGCCAATATAATCGTAGTAGAAGATGACAAACAGTTGCAAAAAATACTAGAAATCCGTTCGAGGTTGCCAAATCTCAAGGCCATCGTACAATACACTGGCGAACCAAAACATCCTGATGTGATAAGTGTAAGTGACATAGGAGAATATGCAGGACTCCTATAATAATAACAGTGGTTTCTGTTTTAGTGGAAGAGACTGATGGACATTGGGTCACAACAATCGGATGCCTTATTAGAAGACGCTTTGAGAACAATTGCTGTTAATCAATGTTGTACATTGGTTTATACGGTGAGTGTTCTCTTTAATTAGATCTAACTATTTCTCAAGAAAAAGTCTTACTATTGTGCTTCTATTGGCAGAATTTGCATCAGTCGAAAAGCTAATCAGTTATGTTCCCTCAAACCACACAACATTTGAAATTTTTTCCAATTTTTTTTTAATTCACTGACTGTTACTTAATGGAAATCCATAGTAAATGTAAAACACTTCTTAAACGATAAGATCTCCAGAAAATTCTTAATCACACGACATGTTTCGCTAACACAGTAGCATCTATACAAGTCAAATACACGTACAATAAACAGTTTATTGTACGAGTATTACACTTGAAGAAAATTGTAGACCAATTGCCTTATAGGCGATTTAAAATAAGCGATACGCCCTCTTGCGGATATTCAAGTAACCAATGGAAAGTACATAGAATGTTTGTTTACATTCAAGCTTTCATGCATTTTATCGAAAGTTAAGTAGTCATTGTGATATTTTTCGAGTTTGAATTCTTCAGTAGAGTATCTCGAATCATTATTGCTTGGTTTCACATATGTTATTCCTGAAAGTTTTTTGCATTTCACAGAAAAAGATGATTTCATTCGGTGTATAAGTGAAATATATTCTCTCAACTACGAGATTTAATTCAGTTGCATTTTGTCCCCAGAAGTGAAGTTACAGAAGGAATTGAAAAAATGAAATCCTTACTCAAAAGCAAAGCACATTGTATTTGTTCAATTTTCTATCAGAGGTAGATCAATTATTCGCACATTCTTTGAAGACTGTTTCTTTTTTATATAAACACATGTAAGTAGATGATTCGACTACATATATACACATCTCAAATACCCACTCTGTGAACTTCAACATCATATTAACTCCACTTGTTTTGCAATATTTATTTCACTACTGAATGGGAACGAAATGCAAACTAACGTAACCTCAAATTAGGGCATTTGTATTTGAAGTAGTGGAACATACTTTATTGAACGAATATCTGCTGAAAAGCTCCCTCGATTCACAAGAGTACACAAATAAGCAGTTTGGTTTTTTCTATTCAATGTCTGTCTTTTTTTCTGTGACTACTATTATTTGTGTATTATTGTACTATTATTTAGTTGTATAAACTTTTCTGTGATTTGTTTTTTACATGATTTTGTAACCCTGACGTGCTATAAACCATAATATGTAAGTCACATAGTCAAATAAATCTATCTATCTATAATAAATCTATCTTGCAGTCGGGCACGATAGGCAGCCCCAAGGGAGTGATGCTCAGCCACGACAACCTGACCTGGGACGCCCTCTCTATCGTCGAGCGACTGAAGATCTCGCGCGGCAACGAAAAGCTGATCAGCTATCTGCCCCTGAGCCACGTGGCCGCCCAAATTGTCGAGATCTACATCACGATGTGGGCGGGCGCGACCATCTATTTCGCAGACAAGGACGCCCTCAAGGTGAGATGGTTATGATAGGCAAGGGGACTAATTTTTTTTATTAGAATCGTCACTTGACTACCTTTCAATTCCACATTTTTTCCATCTTTCTCGGTCGGTTAGGGTTCTAAAATCATCGATAATGCCACGGTCATTTTCAAACGGCTCGAAATTAATAGGAAATATCAACTGAGGTACAATCTTGAAATACGATTGGGAACTTTATTAGAAATATTATGTGTTCAATAATTCCTAAATTCTCAATTATGTATTCATAATATTCTGAATTAGCTATAAAAAAACCTTTGTCATAAAATTTGTACAGGGGTTGAAGGTTAGCCAGTAGGGAAAATTCAAGAAGTCCCAAGAGCAAGATTTATTTTATCGGTGGCAAGATATGCAGACGAATGTGATGCAAGAATGTTAGGCATGAGAAACTAAAAAGTGGCCAAACATCAATCTGAAATATACAGTGTGTCCCACTTACTATGCTCACCATGGGTATCTTTTCAACGGTGAGAGATACGAGGTCGGTTAAATGACACCAAATGTGGAGTTTGTCAAGGCCAACTATAATGTGAAAAAATATTTTGATAAAATCTAATCGTTTTTGTTTTATACGCAATAAACAGATTTTGATCATTTTCATGTCTCCTCCGTAACTTGTTCATTCATGAAAATATTCAAATAAGAATTTCACATTCTCATGGCAGTAGATATAAGATCTGCAAATCTGACCAATGTGCATTTTAGGAAAGCAGTGAGAAATTTGCTAGCTGATAGACCCTTTCATAGCCTACAAGAGTATTTTAATGAATCCTTTTGAAAATATGTGTAATCTATTTTACTTTTATTGTATTTGTACTTGATTTATTCTAAAATTTTTTGTTACTTATCTGTTCATATCTATACACTATTAGTTATGTTTATATTTACATGTACCTACAAACCTTTGTCAATGGGATGCAAAATCTTCTGACAATAAAGAATATTTGAATTTGAATTTGAAGTTTTTCGAAGTGATTTCGAAAAAAATATGAAATTCATACCAACTCTTCTAGAATTTGAGATATCAGCACCAACTCTAGTTTTTCAAATGTAGGTCATAGCTCACTATGACTTAGTTACAAATAACTTTCTTTTCTCTCACAGATGATATGTCGCAGTAATAGTTTTGTGCTGATAACAACGGAGATATCGTCAGTTATACAAAAACAAAAAATTATTTGGAAACCGCCATCTGGAATTCATGAATTTTAACAAAAAATTATGATCTCCGACCTCAAAAACCCCCACTTACCAATTTTGAATGGAATCGGACCAAATCTAGTCCGCCATCTTGGAGCAGCCATTTTTTTTAATTTCAACAAAAATTCCATAACTCCGATTAACTAGAAATTTGGCAGGTGTTCATAATTTCGGTGAAAATACATTTTGGAAAGATGCAATTTGGTACAAGAAATATACTTTTCCTGCCCAATGCAGTGAAAATGAAATCATTTCAAAATTTCATTCACGAGTTCCTATATAATACAGGGGACACTACATTGAAAATTGCTTTTTGTATGCATATTTTCCGACAATTTAATCTCGGACTATGAAAATCCATATCATTTCACAAAAAAAGGTGCTCTTGTTCCGCATCGATCAGATGTATCATTTTCGAGTGAAATCGATTTAAAAATATTGATACACTCACATCTTATGGATAACGTTGCCAATTTCCAAATCATAGTGGCTATAAAAAAATCAAGTACTTTCTTTTCACCAAATAATCTCATAAATGCGTGAAAAATAGAAAAATGATGTAAAAAAAACTACTTCAATTTTTGTGCTTTTTTTTCCATTTTCACTACGACTCATTGCAATGTTATGCATAATATCCGAGATGTAACAATATTTTTGAATCGCTTTCACTCGATAATGATACATCTGATCGATGCCGAACAGGAGCACCTTTTTTTCGTGAAATGATATGGATTTTCATAATCCGAGATAACATTTTCAAAAATATGCACACAAAAAATGTTGAGCCATATTTAATGTAGTCCCACCCTGTGAAATTTTGAAATGATTTCATTTCCACTGCATAGGGCATGGAAAGTTTAGTTCTTATAGCAAATTGCATCTTTTTATCACATGGAATTTAGGAAATACTCAAGAAATATCATCTTCAGGAACCCCCTTTCAGGGGGCCGTAGCTCCCTTATGAGACATTTCTCTTCTCATGTTTATTGAAACTTTCCTTCCTATTTTTGATCGTAGAAGCCGCTGGTGTAGTTTGGCAGGCTGATTTCGGGACACCCTGTATACGAGATAGAAAAAACTTGATAACTTATGATAATTATAATTATTAAATCATGAAAATCATCCATGTCTCAAAGTGGTCCTAGTAGTTTCAAAGAAGAACACGGAAAACACTGGTCGACTGACTTTGTGTTTTCCGTGTTCTTCTTTGTTATAATCATTGACACTGTATGTTCACCCTTCATCCTTATACAGTGTGTCCCACTTACCATGCTCACCATGGGTATCTTTTTAACGGTGAGAGATACGAGGTCGGTTAAATGACACCAAATGTGGAGTTTGTCAAGGCCAACTATAATGTGAAAAAATATTTTGATTGAATCTATTCGTTTTTGTTTTATACGCAAAAAACAGATTTTGATCATTTTCATTTTTCCTCCGTAACTTCTTTATTTATGAAAATATTCAAATAGGAATTCCACATGCTCATAGCAGTTTTTCAAAGTGATTTCGAAAAGAATATGAAATTTATACCAACTCTTCTAGAATTTGAGATATCAGCACCAACTTTAGTTATGACTTCGTTAAAAATAACTTTTTTTTCCGTTACAGATGATGTGTCGCAGTAATAGTTTTGTGTTGATAACAACGAAGTTATCGTCATTTATACATAAACAAAAAATTATTCAGAAGCCGCCATCTTGAATTTATAAAATTTAACAAAAAAATGATGATCTTCGACCTCGAAAACCCCCACTTACCAATTTTGGATGGAATCGGACCAAATCATGTCCGCCATCTTGGAGCAGCCATTTTTTTTAATTGATGGCGGACAAGATTCGGTCCGATTCCATTCAAAATTGGTGAGTGGGGGTTTTTGAGGTCGGAGATCATGATTTTTTTTGTTAAAATTTATAAATTCAAGATGGCGGCTTCCAAATAATTTTTTGTTTATGTATAAACGACGATAACTCCGTTGTTATCAATACAAAACTATTACTGCGACATATCATCTGAAAGAGAACAAAAAGTTATTTGTAAATAAGTCATAGTGAGCTATGACCTACATTTGAAAAACTAAAGTTGGTGCTGATATCTCAAATTCTAGAAGAGTTGGTAAAAATTTCATATTTTTTTCGAAATCACTTTGAAAAAATGCTATGAGAATAAGAAATTCCTATTTGAATATTTTCATAAATAAAGAAGTTATGGAGGAGACATGAAAATGATCAAAATCTGTTTTTTGAGTATAAAACAAAAACGAATAGATTTTATCAAAATATTTTTTCACATTATAGTTGGCCTTGGCAAACTCCACATTTGGTGTCATTTAACCGACCTCGTATCTCTCACCGTTAAAAAGATACCCATGGTGAGCATGGTGAGTGGGACACACTGTATACAAAATACAGCAATTTCAGCAGGAATGTTCCCTCTTATATGTTGTGTCTCATTGCCAACGTGGCCGCATTGAAATATAGAGAGGTCCGATGAATCTTTCCTTGTCTAACCTCTAGTCTGCGCCACTGAACTATTTTCGATTTTATAATGACGTGATATGTCTATGTCATGATGGAAGCGGAGATAACTTTCTTCTCTCTTGTTCAAGATAGAAAAGAGCTCAATTGCAAACGTTGCCATCGGTAATTAATGAGCCCTTATTCCCTTGATACATGAATAACTATTAGGTCCCTGACGACACAGTAGGGTAATTGAATGCCAATAAGTCACAATCAGTCCCGTAGCCTATAGGAAGCGATTACACCATTTGAATTTCTGTACATCCATCCTTCAGGGCTCCCTGGTGAACACGCTGAAGGAGGTGCAGCCCACGAAATTTCTGGGCGTGCCGCGCGTGTGGGAGAAGATTCACGAGAAGATGATGCAGGTGGGCGCGCAGAACGGATTCGTGAAGAGGGCTGTGGCCAGCTGGGCGAAGGAGCAGGCGTTGCGCCATCATCTGGATAAGATGAATGGGTAAGTGGAAGCTTTTGATAGTAAATAGTAGATTGTTTTATTATAGTAAAGAATCCCAAGTAAGGTCGACCTTCACCCATCTGCTTGCCGGATGAAATAGTAGATTGTTTCATTAGGATCAAAAGTGACACTTTGTTTGACAAGCGAATTTTGCATTTGCGAGGCGGAGCGTGTAGCGAAGCCGAGGGAAAGCAAAATTTGCGAGTTGAACAAAGTCACTTTTGATCCCAATGGAACATGCTATTATTTCTGCAACCGAAACAATTAACTCAAATAAATATGTTACCACCAATGACGTGCCATATGTATGGAATGCAACAAATATTGACAAATAATCCGTGTAGTGAGAACATTGTACCTGCATCAACAGCAGGTTCTTTCAATTTTCAAGGATGTTCGAATTGTAGTTTCAATATAAATACAATCACAGAGTGACATATATGTGTATGGACCAGATGCTCTAATGGCAAATACCGCGCCAGTGCCAGCTATAGGAACAAGACATGGAAAATGTTAGGTTAGTGAGCATATCAACAATGATAATAGCGATTATTTACTCCTCTCCATGATACAATGTTTTTCGCTTGATAATTAAATGAAGGTAAACAATATCGTTGTTTGAGACAAAAAACTATTGCTTGCCGTGATTGTTTAAAAACAAGTTATCCATCCCGAGAATAACGAATGAAATACAGATCCAGCAAGTATTTGAATCTTGAAGGCTTCCCTGATCATAACAAAAATACTTGACTGAGATGTTTATAATTCCAATACTCAACTATAATAAGGTGTATGGTGTCCAGCATGGGTATGAAATGCCAAATCTGCCGAAATCGGAAACAAATCAGGTATGCGTCCCAATCCAAATAACCAACCTTAACAATGTTGTTTATTCTCGATGACGTCCAGTACTTCTCTTTTAGCTTCTAGGAGCTAGCTCCTAGGAACAAAGTATGTTGCCTAGCAACATACCTATTTTTGTGTCAGTAATAGAAACGTCAATTTAAGAGCTAATTTTGGTATCAAAATGGACGACTTTTCTGTCGGTTGCAGATAAATTATATTTTATCAAATAAAATATGTTTCTGAACATGTACCTACAGGGTTGCCATAAAAAATATGTTCATGACTATGATAGATAAAATTTTGAAAAAATATATGTTCCTTTAAATTTCACCGACTTGCTTGCCAAATGAATGAAATCCCAATGGAAATCATACAAAATATAGAACATGGAACAGCTAGGTTGTACAAACAGGCAATTTGTTAGTAATAATGCACCGATATACTTACCAGTAGTGAAATATATCTGGATAAGATGAATGGGTGAGTGCATTGTCTACTAAATATGGAGAAAAAATCTAGTGAGCTGTAACAACTGGTCTGCTCTATAGCTCAGTTGAGTGTATTACCACCAGATGATGTTACCGTTTTGGACGAAATGATCTTCACTTTTTTCTAGAAAATTTTCGAAATTTGTAGTTATGTAAGTTGTCAGTGTCAAGAGCTGTCGTGCCATCGTGACTTGTATTGAATATTTTTCTAAAAAAATCTTTCTCCATCAATTCTCCTTGTACTAATATTCCTTTCATATATAGATATAGTTTTGTGTTGTGCTCCCAGTATTAAAGCAGTTTATTCTGATTGATAATTTGTTATAAACCCTGTCTCTCAATTGTGCCTACCAGAAAGTGTGAAATCGTCTCCATTCATGGATTACCAAGTGATATTATCTTTGTGACATAAGTGGATACATTCGATATTGAGTGTTACAGGCTCATTATAAGTAAGATAATCAGAGCCCTGATCAAAAGCTAATAATCGATACTACTGTTTCTACCTCTCATTTAATTTAGGTGTTGAACGTTAAGAAATTGGGGACTATTGTAGTGTCTGTAACAACTATTTTGAGAAAAGATGATTTTTTGGATTTTTGAGTTCTGCGTGGCATATAGCCAGGAAAGTAATTGTTCTTTTTTCGTTATCTACCATTTTCGTTCATTTTATGAACTATTAAGGTGATGAGTTTCTCTCTATTCGTAACCATTGCATTCCACTTTGAGTATTTGGATTTTTCCTAGTTGGAGATAGTAGATTGTTTTATTAGGATCAGAAGTGACACAAGCGAATTTTGCATTTGCGAGGCAGACTAGCGAAGCCGAGCGAAAGCAAAATTTGCGAGTCAGATAAAACTGTTTTAATCTTCTCCTGAAGATGCTAACATAGTTAGCGAAACACGTGTCGAGGCGTTAAAAAATCGGTTTGGTTAGTGGTAAAACAGTGTAGTGTGCTATTATTTATGTCTCCATATTCCACTGTGTTTGGCTCGGTAATCAAATGAAGATAAACAATATCGTTGTGTGAGACAAAAAGGTATTGCTGGCCATGATTATTCAAAAACAAGTTATCCAATCAATCAGATCTTAAATGAACAACAGATCGAGCAAAAATGTGAATCTTGGAGGCTTTCCTGATCAAAACAAAAATACTCAACTATATGATGTATCTATATCTCCAGCATTTTATTTATTTATTTATTTATTGAAAATGTTACTTCCAGTCAGAATCAAGTTCTGGTATAAGGAAGTATAGTTAACAATAATACCTAAAACTATACAATTATAATAAACTGATGAATAATAAAATATTTGAAAACATTAATTATTAAATTTTGACAAATCATTTCATATTGCTGAGCAAAAATCAATTTGAATATGAATCAAAAGTAAGTCATCTATTTCGTTCAGAAATGATAAATTTTTTAAGATGGTATTTGAATTTTATTGTATTTCTGCAATTTTTTATATTATCTGGTAATTTGTTATATTCCAAGAGAGCAGCGTGGGTGAATCTTTTTTGGCCTATAGAAGTATTAGCGATATCAAGATGAAATAAACCATGTTGTCTAGTTTGATAATTATGAATTTCATTGTTTCGTGTTAAAATAAAATTAGATTTCAATCTTTTATTTATGATATTGTATGTAATTTTCAGTCTTTCGATTTTGAACATTTCTTCTAATGAGAATGATTCAGTTATTTTATATAATTGATTTGTTGGTGTATCATATGGTAAACGATACAGTACTTTCAATGTCTTTTTATATAATGCAGATATTTTATTAAAATTGTTTTTTGAACAGTATCCCCAAACATTTATCAAATAGTTAATGATATGTCAAATATTTCGAAATTGGAAGCAAATCAGGTATGCGTCCCAACCCAAATAACCAACCGTAACAATGTTGTTTATACTTGATGACCTAGTACATCCTTTTCAGTCCATAGGAGCTACAGTTCAACTTTAGGTCCTAGGAACTAAAAGTGTAGCCTAGCAACATGCCTATGTTTGTGTCAGTGAAGAAACGCCAATTTAAGAGCTAATTTTGGTATTAAAATGGACGACTCTGTGTCGCTTGCCGAAGATAGATATTAATTATACAAGGAAAAAAAGTATTAGATATTAGTTCAAGGTTGTGTTGTCTTCCGACGCAAAGTGGAGGGAGACTGAGACTGAGAGCTAAAATCTAATATTTCTCCCATGTAAATTAAATACACAATTCTTTAGTGTGTTGGAAAAGATAACAATTTAATCATGGAAAAATGCTAAAAAATGTTTGCTGCAATAAATGTAACTAAGCATATTCACGTAACCAATGAGGAAACAGGTAACATAACGCCAATGAACATTTTACATCGCAGGAACTGAAATTAAAATTGAATTATTATGTTGTTGCTGTAATATCTCTGATATCGAATGAATTAAAAACTGCATAGATAACAGAAATACATTGATTGCATGAGTGTTTTTGTTGAACCCAAATTCCAAGTCCGATAATTATTCTCGTTATCGGCGGGCCCTGCAAAATATCTAATTTAATTTCAATTATCGAGAATAGAAATACACATTGGAATTATACTGTTACGACCCTGGCAATCGATCCCAGCTACCTGCGGGAGCGGAATGTAAACAAGCCATATTTCTTGGAATAGTAATTAGGTAATTCGACGGCTATTGAGATGACTCGAGAAGATTATCGACCTGTTCACGATATTTCGAGTGGAATCTAGACGTTTTATTAGGTAGTATAAATAGTTGTTGTTAGGGACAGGAAGGGAAGTCTTTATTTGGAAGCGTTATAATAACGATCGAAGAAGTGTTGTGAATCGGAAGTGTTTAGTACGAGTATTGTAATTATTGTATAGTAGTGTTCAGAATAAATCGTTTTAAGTGTTATACCGAGTGTTAAGTTATTACGGACCCAGAGTAAAATCGTAACAGTGGTGTCAGAAGTGTGGATTTTTCGAGGACATTTGAAGACGTATGGTGAATACAAGGAGTACGTCATACGACGCGATGGAAGACATTTTGAAATTTATGCAAAATCAGTTCGCGGAACAAGAGGAACGACGACAGAAAGAAAAACAGGAGGAGGAGAAACGTCGTCATGAAGAAAAATTAGAAGAAGAGAAACGTCGTCATGAAGAAAAATTAGAAGAAGAGAAACGTCGTCATGAAGAAAAATTAGAAGAAGAGCAACGTCGTCAAGAAGAGTTACAGAAAATTCTAGAGCATCAAGAAAAAGAACGAGAACATCAGAAAATCTTCTTCGAACAAATTCTGCATAAAACTGATGTGCAAATAGATGAGTTGAAGACAGATTTCACCAAAATTGACGACAAGCTTAACCAGGAGGTTTCAAGAATAGATTCCATGTTCGATACAATCAAAAGAGATGTAGCGAATCAGATCGCCTCGCTACGAAGTCAAGATCGTCGTGACAGGGTTGCCACATCCGGTTCTTCCGTAAAACCACCAACTTTTGATGGACAGTCGCCTTGGTCTATGTATCGCCGACAATTTGAGGCTGCAGCAAGTGCAAATGGGTGGAGTGACGAGGAAAAAGCTACTGCACTCATTGTAGCTCTGAGAGGACCAGCTTTGGGGATGTTACAGTCGATCCCAGTGGAACAACAAAACCACTTCGGAGATTTAGTGGC